ATGTAAAAATTAATTAAATTAAGTTATTTTTATATAATATTTTATAATACTAAACTATGTTAAATATAGTATGTAATAAAAATTTTCTTAAATCAAAATTACAACATTGAATTTATTATTAAATACTAATGATTTATTGTTAATTTAAGTTTAAAATTGAAAAAAGAAAAAAAAGAAAAAAAAAAAGGCTACTTCACTGTAAGACGTCTTCCTTTCTCTGCAAGAAGCTTCAACTCACTTCCACCTTACTCCGGCCGCCGGCCAATCCAAACTGCCGATGTACTTGGCACAGGCCCTTTGGGCCTTTTTGTCAATCTACGGCTCTGAAACACATACTCGCTGAAACCTTTTGAAAATTTCTTCTCTGCCTCTTGTTGATCCGTCTAGGTTGTAGATCTAGAGAATCAAAGAGAGAGAAACCATAAGAGATTTTAATTTTCAAGTAGGGAATTTGGGTTATATATGGCCTCGTATATTCTCGATTTGAAAACAAATTAGGAAAATCAAACCAGAAAAAAATGAAGGAATAATGTGATTTACTTGAGATTCAAGACGGAGATGGAGATTGAGGATAAAGAGAAGTGTATTGTGAGTAAAGAAAGAGGCGCTAACGATACCGTCGAGGGAGGCTAAGAATTTGCAAAAATTAAAACCCACTCCGCTTCAAATCTAGAATTTGGATAAAAATGGAACACAGTTCAGGCATGAGGAAGCAACGATTGACATCCATTTACAGGGGAGAAGCGGAGAAGAGGAGCTTATGCAATTTTCCCTATATTTTCATCGTTAATTAAATTATTTTGGTAAAATGGTGCAAAGTCCACTTGTTGGACACAAAGAATTTTTTTTTTTTTTTTCCAACTTAGCTCCACATAAGCAAGGCTGAACGGGGCGACGGAAGGGGAAACGCAATGCTGACATTTTAAGATGTCATCACAAGCAAAAGGGGCGGTTTGCATGGGTTTTTAGTAAGTAGAGAGGGCGCGATGCTACCAAAAAGAGTAGAGGAGTTGACATTTCATAACATTGTGAGTAGAGGGGCTGATTTGTGCGTTCTGCCTCCTACAGTTTTTCCTTATTTGGCCATTTAAACCCGTGAGTGGACTCAGACTCCCCATCTTTACCATTGCATTTGCAAAGTCTGTCCTGAAGGTTTCTTCGTTGTTGCTGTATTCAGTGATTTGAGAGTATATGATGCCTTCATTGACGAGCTGCTGATCGACAGGCAACAGTCCTTTCTCGTTCAACAAATTCTTAAAGTATGCATTGTCAAATGATGTTGGACTTGTAGCGTCTAGAGGAGCAAGGTTATTGTCTCCCCCGGTGGCCGGACAATTTTTCCGTAGTGATGTGGCAAAGGTGGAATCAATGTTGGTTTCGTTGTAGATACGTGTTCGGAAAAACGTGCACCTAGCTTGTCCAATTGTGTGCGATCCTGAAATTCAATTAAGTTTAATTGTTAATACTTATGCTTTATTAAGTTGGTATGTACTAATTGACTTTAAGGTCTGAGATTTAAAATTTATAATAGGGAGTTTAAAAATAGCTCACCTAAAAGAGTTATCGTTTCGTTAACTGTGAAACCTTTATTGGTGAACATATAGAGCTGGGTGGTAAGATCTCGGAGTGGGGAGGGGATGTTGGAATTAACAGCACTTTGGCTTGCTGTGGTTGAATCTCTTCTTCCCAAAAGAACAGTCCAACTTGGCCCGCCTAGCTGATAAAACAAAAATCTAAAGATCATTATTGAAGTACCAAGACAATAGTAATTCAAAAGCAAATTTAGCAATCAAGATTAGTAACACCAAAAAGGGTTGTGCAATTTGATGGGGATTGCACAACATAAACCATTAAAAAAGATGAATCTTAATATTGGAATTGGAGCTACCCTTATTTAATGATTTTTGTTTTATAATTTAAATTAAAAAATTTAAAACTTTTAATAATATTAAACTACAAAACATGAAACTCTAAGTAATGTCATTGTTGTTTCTTTCTTACAGCAACAATGGAGTCACGAGCAGCAACTGCTAATATATCAGCACAAGAGACAACACCGGGGCATAGGTTCTCTAATTGAGATTTGATGATGTCTATTACAGCAAATCCCCTCA